TTATTCTACTGAGCTACTCCCCGGCCCCCCAAATTTTCTGATCAAGGAGATTATGGGGCCACAGAGGAAAGTGATCAACGATGCAGAGAGTGCATAAGGAGAGTCACATGGAGAGAAAAGGTTCTCTTAGGTTTTCAGAGAGAGCAAATTGGTCAAGCAATGGCTGTGACTCACCCACATGGCTGTCACTGACAAAGGATCTACAAACTGCAGTACAGGGTTTCAGGCTAAATCCTGAGAGGATCTGACTGATTTTGTCAGATACAGAAGTTACATTTCTTGTTATATAGATCTTGCTTTATCTTGGTCTTAACCATCCAGTAGAAAGGTATAAAAATGAGGCATAAAAAGTAAAGCTATATTAGTATGCTGAGCTATAAAAGGCTCAAGTCAACAACTTTTGATATTGCCAGTCCTATGGATAATCCACTACTATTATGGAGTACTGGACTATATTGGATTACTTTGCTGAATTCACACACCTACAATATTTAAATGGCAATGGAATACCCATCTCTAACAAAATTAAACAAAAAAAGGAGATATAAATGAAGGACCATTTTGTAGTTGTATATACAAAATAGGATAGATATACAGCTACTTTCTCTAAATGCAAAGAGAGGAAAGATTTGTACTAATAGTGTTTGTGAACAGGATATCATATCTGCATCTTATACTATGAATAACCACTACAAAGACAACAATATACAATGTACTAATTATTGAAACTGTTCTACTAATCAGTTTTGAAAATGTCTCATTGCTATTTGTTTCTCAATAAAATTAATAAAAAATAAAAAAGAAAGAAAAAAGAGGGGCCAGGGAGATGGCTCTGTAGAATAAGTGCTTGCCTCAGAAGTGCAAGGGCCTGAGTTCAATCCCTGGTTCCACAAAAAGAAAGAAAAAAGAAACAAGATGTGAAACTAGTGAAAAACAGAAAAGATAAAACAGTTTTCTTCTTCCTGCAAGGGCTCTACATTGAGCAAGTAATAAAGTTACTCAAACCCAAGTTATAGACTTTGGGCACCAGGGAAATAGCACTTGACTGGCAAGCACTTGACTGGCCTGAGTTCAATCCCCAGTTCTGCAAAAAAAAAAAAAAAAAAAAAAGTTATAGACTTTTCATGTTCCAAAATCTCTAAGACTGGGACACGATCAACAACTGTGCTAAAGTTCAGTGAGAGATGCACGCACCTGTGAGTGTGATGTCATCTTCATCATCATCTATGATTTCTTCTTCAGCGACATCCAGTGAGCTTTCAGTAATCATGTCATTGGGTTCTTCCACACAGGCTAGACCAGCATAACTATTGAGAATATCAGCACCAGGAACATGTTCCACAATTACAGCAGGAAAAATAGCTGAATCACAAAGCTATTAGGGGTGAAGAGGGGGAGATGTGAGGAGACAAAGAATTAACTAAATTCTGCTAAATTAAATTTCAATATTATCTGCTATTCCTACACTGACAATCCTATACTGCAAAGAGTATGTATTTGTATCACATAAACATTCATTATTAGGCTTGGGTCTTTTTTTTTTTTTTTTGACCAAAAATTTTTTGACTAAATTCTGACTCATGCATAAGCATGACAGTCTTCCCTATTTATTAGACTTCGGCAATTAAAAAACAAAACAAACAAATGAAAAAAAAAAAAAAAACCCAAGCAGCCTTGTATAGAACAGTGAAAATGCCAGGATGAGGGTAGGCTACAGTTTCTCTGTAGGATAAATACATACATTTTTTAAAAGCTTCTCTCCTGTTGGCCTTACAACTCTCAGTTCTGGTAATTAAATACGAGTTTTCAAAATCATTTATTTACTTCTCCAAGATCTTCAATGCTATCATCATCCACCTCTGGCCATTTTTCCTGAATGACCTCGATGATGTCGTCTGTAAAGTCCCCCTGAATGATGATTTCATCTTCTCCTGTTACTGAGGCACCACAGGAGAATTTCTGAGCAAAAAATCTTTGTGCTTCTTTAAGATCAATTTCAAAAGTCGCAAGGCCACACACTCTCGTCACATATTTCTTCTTTGCTCTGGGAATTTTGGCTATAGTGACCTTTTGTGGTACGGTCTTCTTTTTCTGTTTTATTTGACCCCTTCCACCTCTCTTTTGTTTTTTTCTTTTCTTCTTCTTCCCCTACTGATCCTTGACCTTCACTAATTCCTGCTTCTTGTTTGGGTGAACTTTCTACAGTGAGTTTTGCAAATTCATTTGGAAAATTCTTCTCTAACCATTGTCTACATTTAGTAACATCAGGCATATATTCACAGTACTTCACAGTAAAGGACTCAAAGTGGGTAATCAGCATCTAACTTGGCACTGTTCTTCGGATCACCTTTGAAATCACCCCCATTGGATTCAGCAATGTCAGCAGCCATTTCATAAACCCCGGCGGTCACACAGTCCTCGCCGCCTCCGGTCCCGCCTAGGCTTGAGTTTTAATGACGAAGTTTATACTAGGCATTTATAAAATATATTTCAAGTGATATACATAAAATATTAATATCATTTATGTTTATGCATTAACTAAGTAGTAGCATATAAGTGAAATATACAATTGAATAAAATTTGAGTAAAGGTCTCTTTGGCATAAAAAATGTGAATTTAATATATATTAGATTGTCACTTGCCATATAGCCTTGTTTAAACATTTGACTCACATAGAATTTTTATTTTGTACAGTTGTCCTCTTTAAGTGTGACTGTATTAAGAATATAAATTATTACTAATAATGTCTGATTTAAAAATCACAAAATCTTAGAACTGAAAATACTCTTAAAAGTTAACCTATAACAATCACCTTTTATTTTATTTATTACCTTATTTTATAATTGAGAAAACTGATGTACAGGGAGTTTTACAAAACTAAAAAATCAGTGGCAAATCTCACTAAGGTACTATACTTGCTTTATCTTTTATTTTTACATAACAACAGGCTTAGAAAATTACAAAAATAGCACAAAGAACTTCTGTCCAGCCTTAATTCATTATTACCTCAATTCTAACTTTTTTTTCAAGCCATGACCATTTAATTCAGATCACAAACCTTGAGATGCACACCTAACATATAACCTTCTTATATACACTGACTTTAAATACTGGTAGCTTTTTTAGGAATGAGAGATCTGTGTTGCTGAGTATCCACTCTTTAACGCAGACTTATGTTTACTTTTTCAAATGGTTCAATCTCACTAACATGTAAACCCTTAGCAGATCCCTAATAAAAGACCAATTTGTAAAACTGGGCTATTTTAATGTTTTTACAACTTAATAAATAGCTTTCTTGATGAATGTAGTCATGACAGCTGTTCAGCAGTATTCAAGTTATGGTTTTCCTGATTGGTCTGTAGTCTTCAATAAGTGTAAGAAGTTACTGTATAAGGCATCTGTCAAAATAGTATGACTGCACTGACACATTCATCATTTTCAGGATTGTTGGTTACCTGGGCATATTTACCCCAGATAACCTTGCCTCCTTGTGTCACAAGGCCCAACTTGCTCACGTTCACCTCAATCACTGTTCCTTTGGTAATCACACCCAAAGTTGTATACAGTGGCGATGAAGGATTCTTTTTCACATCAAGTATTGGCAGGCAAAAGGTGGCTTTCAGTTTAGGATGTGTTACACAGGCCTTCCTAAAACATAAGCCCATTGGCCTAATGAATCTTTCATATGTAGGTGGTTTTCTTATAAAGCCATCTCCAACAAAGCAGACTTTAGTAACCATCCTCTCCCATGCCTTTTTTTTTTTTCCTCTTTCCAGTTCAAATAACTTTTTTTTTTTTTGCTCCTCGAATGCCTTCAGGGCACTTTTGGCTGGCTGGAGGGTTGTGGGGATCGAACTATAATAAGCTGAGGCTGACAGCTTTGTGGAAGCAGCCACTTAAAGAACTGAGCTAGAGCCAGGCCCCCTCAAATAACTTTTACCACTTTCGTTTTTCCTTGGGCATGAACTTTGGGCAGAGGAACTTCCCATTTTCTCACCTTTTCTTTTCGTTTCTGTTTAATCATGTTAGAAAGTACTTTTGCACAAGACTGTCCTTCTCTGTCCAGCAGGCAGGCAGGTACAGGTCCTTGTGGAGCCTCTTCATCATTCTTTTGTTTGGTGCTTCTCTTTTCATGCATCTTGAGTCTTCTTCATTTGTATTTTCTCCACATGGCACTGTTTGTGGTAAAGCTTAGCCTTCAGGCCAATCTTTTTTTTTTTTTTTTTTTTTTTTGCCTTCTTTGAACATTCAAGTCTCTCAATTTTCCTTCCTTCTCTTTTTCTCATGGTAATCCAAGCGGTACCCATAGTGTTTACGGTGTAATTCAATATATTCATTCTGTGGTATGATGACAGCTGCAGAGCCAGCGCGGGCCGCCTCAAGTATGAAAAGAAAAGTCCTAACTTTGGGGTGTCCCAGACGCATGAGCTGTCTCCGTGCAGCAGGAAACAGGAAGCCCCAATTCTAACATTTAATCATATCTATTTATCAGTCTCTCCTGATAGTTCATTTATCTGAAAGTGGTAGACATACCTATTGTAGCATAACAGCCTAAACCAGGAAAACAACACTGATGCTGTTAACACTAAGACTATAATCTAAAGATCTTATTCAAATTTCTCCAAGTATCTTACTGATATTCTCCATTTTTAAAAAATGGGTAAAACATTATGATTCTAAATCCAATAGTTTCATTCATCAAACATTTTGTTTCTTAACAACAATTCCTTTAATCAGGTCCAGCATCCTGTTTATTTTATTTTTTATTTTTTTGGCAAAACCGGGGATTGAACTCAGATCCTTATGCTTGCCAGTGAAGCACTTATTCTACTGAGCCATCTCCCTGGCCCTGCATCTTGTTTAATTTGGAACAATTCTTTATTCTTTGTCTTTCACAATCTTAACAGTTTGAAGAGTGCAGGGTATTTGTTAGTAGAATATCCACTAACTTAAGTGTGGATATTTCTTCATGATTGATTCACTTAGCAGTTTTTACTAAGAATACCAAAGAAGTAATATTAAAACCTACAGTGTAACTGGACAAGGTGGCACATACCTGTAATACCAGCATTCTGGGAGGCTAAAAGAGGGCAATCACAATTTTGAGCACAGCCTGGGCAATTCAGCTCCTCATACTCTGTCTCAAAACTAAATTAACCAACCAACCAACCAACCAACTAAATAAATGAATGAATGCATAAATGAATAAATAAATAAATAAATAAATAAATAAATGTATGTAAGTAAATGAATAAAGGGGTAAAGATGCAGCTCAGGGAAAAGGTCCTAGGCCCAACACACACACATACATATATACACATACACACACACACACACACACACACACACCATGCAGAGCCAGGACTAGTGATATATACCTGTAATCCCAACGCTCTGGGAGACTGAGGGAGGATTACAAATCTGAGGCCAGTTTCTTAGTTACTAAAGCAATTTAGCAACTCAGAAAGACCCTGTCTCAAAATTTTAAGCAATCATTAAGGGCTAGTAGATTAGGGATATAGGTCAGTGTGAAGGCCCTGAGTTCAATGTCCAAAACCACAAAAAATAAAACACTTCATGTCAGGGAACCCTGATTTATTTGTCCCACTGCTTAGGATATTAACTTTGATTACTCAGTTAAAATAACATTTCTCCACTGGAAACGTGTTCATTTCTTTTTCTAATTAATAAGTGTCTTATGGGACAATACCTTAAGACTATTTTTATTTTGAGACAGTGTCTTGATATGTTTTCCAGGCTAGCCTTGACTTTACTATGTATCTCATGCTGACCTCTAACTCATAGTAATCCTTCTGCCTCAGTCTTCCTGGAATTATAGTGTATATATGTCCAGCAATATCCTGTTTCTTAACACTTCCCCATAAAGTGCTTTCTTAAATATGAGAAAAAATTCCTGCTTATAGATAATGTTGTCAGGTATTTTCCTTAAATAAGTCTGCTATCTAGGGTTTCATAATAATTAACCAGTCTCAAAAATATTATGTTCATATAACAGCATAACAAACCTTGGATTATTATTTCTCATAGGAATTTAATTACCCAAATTTAATATATATCACAGTACTAAACATAATATTCTTGCCTTCAAGAATGCTATGCTCTGAAATTTATGGATAATTACACTAAAGTACTCTAAGTACAAAGTATTCTAGGCATACTTCACAATGCTGCTTCTTATTTCCAAAAAGAGGAAGCTAACCAGAAGAACCTGGGTGTTTACACTGTAAAATTAGTTTTAAAACAGAAAATAAGGGACTCAAAAATTATACTGTGGGAAAAAAATTATACTGTGAAATTGCACTCCCACAGAGGCAATCATACAAATATCAGACAAAATGTCCAAAGCAAAATATA